TGTATGAATAAATAAATAAATCTTTAAAAAAAAAAAAATATATATATATATATGTAACTAAATTTCTCAAGTACTTATTTTGAAACATAGGTTACTTAAACATTACATGCTTTATTAGTAGCATTAATGTATGCTGATTAATCCACACTACAGTAGCTTTAGTTCATTTTACTAAATTCAAAGTGAATTTTCAGTTAAACAGTAACTTGAGTTCTTTCTAGTAGATAGTAATGATTTGTCCAGTGTTTCTTTGTCCATGGGTTTCTGCTTTTTAAAATCTTTTGCTTTCTATCAACTTAATTTACTCACCTTATAGCTTCTTAACATGAAAATTTTGTTCATCAGTTTTAAAACTTACTTTCAGTATAACCATTGAAAAATAACTTTCCTTCTATATACCACTAAAAATACACCTTACAAATTTTGTTGTTACACTGTATTTTTATTATTTGGCTTTAATTATCTTCTAGTTTCCCTTGTGCTATCTTCTTTCACACATGCATTGTTTAATTTCTAAATATTTGGGACTTTCGCAGATATTATATTATTTATTTATAGTTTAATTTTGTTGTGGTAGGTGAACATATTCTTTAAGGTTATATACTCTTGAAATTTATTGACTGATGACCTGGCACTTTCCTTATCTTGGTAAACTTTCCATGTGCACTGACTGGTCGAGTTGTTGAAGTAGTGCTATGTAAGTATAAATATAAATACAAATACCAATATAGTCTTCCAACTGATCTTTCTTCTTTTACCCCTCCCACTTTGAATGTCTCTTCTCAGTGCAGTAACTGTAATGAGCTTTTTAAATCACAAAATAGGTATCATTTTGCTCAAAACCCTCTTGTGTCCTCCACAAGATACTGGTTTTATGTAGAAAAAACCAAAGTTCTTAACAGTGGTCTACAGTATGTTACATGATCTACGCTTCTTTTATACTTCTTAGTTTGCTTCCCCTTTTGCTCATTCAACACCAGCACTGCTGACCCCACAACCAGCCATAACCACAGTTAAAATTCCAACAAAGCCCATCTCAGATAAGGGAGATGTTCAGAAAAGATTCTCTTATCTCCATATTTCTTCCATGGTCCTCGGCTAACCTTATATGCTCCATCATACTGAACAACTTCTTCAACTCCTTCTCATCTCTTTCCAGTTCCTCATATTTTTCTTGATTTACAGCACAATGAAGTCATCTGCAGCACCACTGATGTGTCTAGTGGAAATACCTCCTTTGTACCTAGTCCAGACACTGTTGCCATCTTGACTGTGACCTCTAACCATAGCTAAATATTTAGATATTGGCATTCTAATAAGTTTATAATCCTTTCTGATATGTATGATGTAACCTCAACTCTGTGGGGTATCACAATGTTGTATCCTCCCTTATCTGCTAATCCTTTTATGTTCTCACCCTCCAGAGCAATTAGTGATCCTGAACATCTCCTGTTTTCTTCCTCTGCCCCAATCTTATGACCTAGCTCAAATGTTGCCTCCTCTGTAAAGCAGTAGGTAATTTGGTCCATTTGATTGCTTCACTGTGGCATGAAACCAAAACTTAACCATAGCTCAGAATTATTTTACATGTGTATATTGAATCTTGGAGGGCAGTCTTCCTGTTTTATGAATCTCTTTATCACCCAATGGTACTTTTCAGAAAGTGGAGGAATTATACTATAAGCAATAAAACTTTTTAAGTAAACATTTCAGGATAGTAATCTTTCTAGAATTTTATACGTATTTCTTGGCTTTCTAGAGTAAAGTGAGTAACATTTAATCTTTGAAGATTTTAGAGGAACCATGATTTAAATGCTACTTTCTTACTAATAGTCTCATATCTCATCAAAATATATGTGACTGTTTATCCTGGTGCTGAATGGCATAGCCTGCTGGACTTTTGTGGAGCTTTTGTTTTTTCATCTTAGTCTTCTTTGTGTATCTGATTTTAGCAGCTTCCCTTTTCTGTACTCTGCCTCTAATCATATTAATCTACTGGTGAATCTGTTTAGAAAACTACATCCTTTAGAAATGAAAGTAAGGATAAACAGACTCTACAGGGTTGTTCTGGAAATACACTTTGCACACTGGTACATGGCTCTTCTGCTACACTGCTCTTTCAGCACTTCTTGGGGTCAGCACTTCAGAAGGTGTTAAGGTACCCACAGTAGGTGCAAAGGGAGAGCTTATCTTTGTTTTCAAGGTGTTCAGGGTAAATCTCTTAGCAACCTAAGACGTCTTCCAGTGGTTCTCAGCTATATTTCATATAATAGGTATTTTTCTTTTAATTGGGGTTGAAACAATCATTATTTTGTATTAAGTAATAGAAGTAGGATTTCAGTAAAGGTTTTAACCTTTTAAATTCAGTGTTAAATGCAAATGTAACTGCAATTATGATTTGTTTTAAGAGAAAGGTTACAAGAAATTGGTCTTTTTCTCTCTTATAGGAAATACAGATGAAAAGAACTGCAATTGAAGCTTTTAATGAAACAATTAAAATATTTGAAGAGCAGTGTCACACACAAGAACAACATAGCAAAGAATATATTGAGCGATTTCGCAGAGAAGGGAATGAAAAAGAAATTGAACGGTAAATCTGCCTAATAACTCCCAAGTGTACCAGTGAGACAAAACTTCTTTTCTTCCCTATGATCTCTGTTCTGTCTGCTTTTACCACCTCAAACTTCACAGTCCTGCCAGATGTAACCACTTACTGTTTCTGCAAATGGTACCAAGCTGATTCTCCTCTCTTATGCATTTTCCCACCCATCCTCCTAACTTGGTAATTACTGCTCATCACTTAGGACTCAGGTTAGAACATGACTTTTCCAAGAAAATCTCTCCATATTCCCTACGCTGGTTTGGGGTTTTTTGGTCTATACCTCTACAGCATCTTGTCCTGATCCCTACTGAAATATTTACTGAATGTCACACCCACTAAACAATGAGTTTGTTGAGAGTAAAGATGGTGGCATATCCCTGGTAGTTCCAGCACCTGTTATGGTGCCTGAAAACACAGAGTGGATGCTCTATGTTCAAATATTTGTTGAACTGAAAATGAACTTTGGTAGAATATATTGAGACGTAGAACAAGACCATGGACAGGAAGATCACCTGACTGTTGCAGGTCACTGCAGGCTTTGTGGTTATCAGACAAAAAGATGATGAGGCCCTGAACCAGAGGAATGACAGGATAGGACGAGGAGTTAATAGAAAACTGAGGAATTAGTGACTAACCACATATGATAGCTATGGGAGAAATTAACGTTCACTCCTAGATTTCTGATATGAGTGACTAAGGGATTAACTATTCACCAAAATAGGAAGTACATGAGGAAAGTTCAGCACTGGAGCCAATGAGTTTGAGGTTTCTGTGAGCTGTCCAGGAGATAGACAACTGGTTAGTTGGGTTTGGAACTCAGGGTACAGAAAGTATTTGGGAAGATTAACTGTATAAGTGATGGTACATGCTAAGAATGAGATTACAGAGAGAGAGTGATCAGTATGAAGTCTTGAATCTGGCAACTGAAAGGAATTGGAAACCTGTATCAAAGCAAATTTGGGGAGTTTTAGAAGACCGAGTTCCATAACAGTGTTTTGAGGAGTGAAAAAGTGGATAATAAAGAAAAATTAATCATATGCAAAGGAAACGCAAAATTACTTCTCATATTAACTATAAGGTATTGTGTAAGTGAAGGATTAAGCTAGGAGGCACTTAGTCTAGTGGTTAAAAACATTGAGTTGAGTTCCATATTTACAATTTACTAGCTGCATGACTTTGGGTGAATTACTTAAGCTATGGGTAAGTTCTTGTTGAAGTGCTGAATTCATATGTGTGTAGACACATACACTTGGCACATGGTATAACAAATGGCAGTTAGTCTTCATAAGAATCAATAGATGGCAAATATTAGTGAATAAATAGGAAAAAACTTAGTTTAGTTCAGGGAGTAAAGTAGCATGATGATAATAGTAACATAAAATCATTGTTATTGAGTGACAAATGAATAATGTGGATAGTTGTTATGTTAAAGATTTTAGGTAAAACAAAAAGCTTGTAGCTATCACCTACCAAATGTTTCCGAGGATGCCAGGCACTGTTCTAGTCCTTTTACCTGCATTACCATATTCAACTCACAATAACTAAGTGAGGTACTGTTGTAGGTATCTATTTTAACAGATTAGGAAATGAAGGCACAGAGAAGTTAAGTTATCTATAGCCACATAGTATGTGGCAAGACAGAGATTCACACTTGAGACAGGATTACTACAAGTCTTTAGCTTTTAACTGCTATATTTTACTACTTGTTAAATATCATACAAATAGGTTTATTTGTTCACTCATTGTTAGATCTGGGCCCTAAAATTACATATTATTTAGCAATCACAGTGGAGAGAATTTCTGTATACCAGAGTTCTAGCAAAAGTCCTAGAATTTACTTTTACTAGATCAGTTTATAATTTTCATTTCTGAGCCAGTCCCTTTGTTGATTGTGTGGATGTCATCCCAAGAATCTGAGAAGGATGCAGGGAACCCTTTACCAATAGCAAATATCAGGGGTGCTAGGGGTCAGACAAAGCCCACAGATGTTCACCACACTTAAGATATTTGGAATATACTTGCACCATAGAATACTTCTGCTGAGTTACTGTTTTAGCTTAAACATGTCAAATATTTTCACAGAATTATGATGAATTATGACAAACTGAAGTCACGTCTGGGTGAGATTCATGACAGCAAAATGCGTCTAGAGCAGGATTTGAAGAAACAAGCATTGGATAATCGGGAAATAGATAAAAAAATGAATAGTATCAAACCTGACCTAATCCAACTGCGCAAAATCCGAGATCAGCACCTTGTGTAAGTAGTCTGGGTCTGTGTGGGAGGGAAACACCAGTACCAGATTGCAAACAGTATTGGAAACATTAGAGGTAGAGGACAAAATTTCAATTTGAAAACTTGCCAGTGAGATTTTAAGAATTTCAAAAAGCAGTTCTATTAGTAATAGGGGGTGCCAGAATTTACCTCAGCCAGTGGGCATGGCACACCAGATGAGGGACTCACATCCACTCCAGTGCTTTGGAAATCTCAGAAAGTGGCTATGGCCTGCACAAAGTGATATAGCTTAAAAAGCACAGTTTAATGTTTGCCTGAAACACAAAAACCAGAATCTTTGGTTATATGGTAGAAGCATAGAAATGGAAATTATCTAGAAATAGAAACATCCTTCAGGAGCACAAGGAAGGAAACTAATAATGAGGCATTACAAATATACAAAACAATTTATTAAGGTTTTTATATTTAAGAAAAGAAATCCTGTATTTAAATGATAGATTCGTGTCTACAACAGCCATGAAAGATAATTGTACCTGAAGAGTGAAACCCAACTCTTTACTATTGTGGAAAACTATTTGATTTGACTAGAGATAGAGGTTATTATTCAAATAAAGATTGAAGGATATGTTATCTGAATATGTTGTGTAGATTAGATTTTTACACAAATAGAAGGAGCAAATTCATAAGAAAGGAAAGTATTTTAGATTTTAATTCTGGGTAATGAATAGACTGTTAAGAAATATGTTTATGCTTTCATGCATGTAATACAAATCAGTTCAAACTCCTGGCAGAAGACAGAGCAAAGTCCTGAGTTTTCCATAGACTTTAGGATTTCTTTGTGTGAGGAAGAAGGGATATGATACAAGCACTAGATTAGATTATTTCAGGAGAGGGAAATTTAAGGTGATTTTTTTGAAGGGGAAATTCCCTTCAGAACTTATATGTGTTCAGGTAGGGAGGGTTAAGTTCTCCAGGACTTATGCTTCAGTTTCAGAGTACCTTTCCTTATCCCCTTCTCAGAGACTGCCCATCATAATGTTCTTTCTTGAATTGAAAAGCAAATTCTTCTCTCTTAAAGGATAGTGGTTTGGTTATAAGGGTAGTTATAATTAGACAATTAGAAAGGACACCATATTTACATAATTTTTTTTTTCTACTTGCTAGTGGACTAAGTGAAGATATTCTAATACCAACTATATATATTTTTTGTTCTTAAGATAATGTCAACGTAATCTATTGGCGTAGTATTCTTCTTGTTCATTTTTATTTATTTTTAAGATGAGGACACTAAGGTACCAAGAGAGGCTGGTCCAAAACCACACAATCAGGGTCCTCCTTGGTAGCACGAGTTCGATCCCCAGCCAGGGAGGTGACCCCACATGGCACAGCAGATCTCTCCTGTTTTGCTCACTGCTCCCCTCAGCAGTATATTTCAGTCCCTCTGCCTGTTCTGCTTTCCACTCTGTCTCTGGTGAATCCTCTCACCCACCATACCCTAAATCTTTAAAACACATACACACAATCAGTAACAGAACGAGAGTATGGCTATTAAGTCCTTGAATGCTTTGCCTCAGATTTTTCTTCTCCAATGTACTGCTTTTACATGGCTAAGCATTACTCAACTGCAATAAGTATTAACATATTTACTGAAATTGTTCTTTTTTAATATTTTAAATGTCAATTTCTGGCATTGTTAGTAGATGTTGAAGGACTCAGAGTTATACATTAGTATTTGAAATAGATTTTTGGGAGATTATAAAAGCTGCCTGTTGCCAAGAGGGCAGATATCATGGAGGGTGGCCCCCAGAATTCCTTTCCTCATGGTCTTTCCTGGATATACTAAGACTCCTTGTAGCAGAAAGGGAGTTCAATTTAAAGAGGCCTGTAACTAAAAGAAATTGGTAGGAAGTGTGGTGCAGTTTGTTCATTTCAAGCCTTTTACCACGAGTGCTTATCTTTTTTTTAAGACATTTATTTATTTATTTATGTAAGAACTGGGGTACAGGCCAAAGGTGCGGGGTTGAGAGGACTCACCAGAGACAGAGTAGGAAGCAGAAGAAACAGATCCACTAAAATACATTGCTGAGGGGAGCAGAGGGCAGGCAGGACAGGAGAGGTCTGCTGCACCATGCGGGTCATCTCCCTCGTGGGTGATTGAACTCTGGTGCTTCAGAAATCATGTCTAGTTTCATAAGCTGCACTTTAACCCTTTGCATCACCAGGGAGGGCCCCAGAGTGCTTATCTTTCTCATAAAGGAAAGATCCTTTACTTTAAGGAGAGAAAATTTTTCTCCAACTTCTACCCACTGCCTAATTCGAAATCTACCTCTGCATTTTTTAGGTATTTGTTACAGCAGCACTCCATTTCCAGATATCTAAAAAAGTCTACTCTGCCAACTCATTGTCAATTGACTTCAGTGTGTTAGTAAGGGATTTGGAATTTCTACCTGTACTAGAGGTTTTAATATTGGAGTGTTTTCAGAACTACCATAAGAGAAGTATTGGTTCTATCATGTCAAAAAAGTATAGAATAAGATTATAATTAAGTATCCCCTTTAGAATAGGAAGCTTTGTTCTTTTCTGCTCCACAGAGAATATATAAGTAACAGTTCAATAAGTTAGCCTCAATTCAAAAAGATTATCAGGGATAAACTACATTTTCATAGGAGCAAAATCTTCTTAAGGAAATAATCTATTGAAACAAATGAACACTTTAAGTAGGGGGGCATTTCCTGGTGCTGAATGAACAAATCTATTGCACAGTAAAATAATTAAAAATTTTACTCTTAGTTTTATCAATTAAATGGCATGCCTACAGATAGACACAGAAAAAGGGCAATTTTGTATCTAACAGTCTTCCAAAACAGAGATTTACATTGGAAGAATTACACATCCAGAAGGGTTTAATAATGCTTAAATCACACATGTAAAAACAGTTCATTGCAGAAGAAATCTGAGCAAAACATCCGATCTCTGATTCTGTTAGTAGTTGTGTGGTTTTGGACTAGCCTCTCTTTATACCTTAGCGTTCTTATTTTAAACAAGAACAATACTGCTCCCATAGATTACATAGGGTGCTATATGTTTTGCTTCACTTAGAGTAGGTATCGTGAACTTTTCATACTGTAGTCTCTGTAAGTTTTAAAATTTATAATCTCTTCAGTAGCTATGTCACAGTGACAGCATTAAAAGGGATCAAAAAGTTAGTATGATAAGAAATTTAGAGGATAGTATCTATTATTTTGCTAAGAGAAGTGATGGTACAGAAGGCAGTTTGTTATTAAATACATTTTATCAAGATTACGTGTTGCTTTCCAGCTTCACTAAGCGTAAAAAAATGAAATTTTGGTTAACTGAAAGGTAAACATTACTGAAAAAGGCTGTCAAATCTTTCTAAAAGAACTTCAGAATGAGGTATGATGCCAAGTTGTCTAATGTCCTTGAGGTCAGAGAGATACAAGATGATTTTAGAGATTTTGGTAAAAACAGCCCACCTGCAAGTATTTATTGACTGTTCATTGAATATTGACTGTATGCTGGCACTATTTACCATACTGGAATAGTGCTGTGAACAGGTCAGCTCCTTTCTTGAAAGTAGCTTACATTTTAGTGAGAAAGACAAACAAGTGAATATATAATGAATTTCAGGCAGGTGCTGCGAAGGTGACAGAATAAGCTGAAGTCTGGAGAGTGACTGGGGGACTGACTACCTTAGTTGGGACAAATAGGGTTGTCCTCCTTGAGGAAATGCTGTCTTTCTGAGACCTGAATGACTAGAAGCTTTGCTTGGGGTTTTGGAATGAAAGAGTTTGTATGCTCCACTCAAATTTTAGATTGTCAATTATCTCAGTGGAACTAAATGTAATGGTTTATATCATTTTATACCGAAAATGTTGATAATATTTTAAGATACTCTGCTTTACTTGGTAATGAAATTACTCAGATTATCACCCTGAATTTCTTGTGGTTTAGATAGAAAAACAGACTTTGAAATTCTGTTTTAGAATTTTAAACTCATTTCCATAGGCCATACAGGAAATGGCTCCTCTGAAAGTAGAGATGGTAAGTAGAATGCCATGCTCACAGTGGCAGTAAGCAATGATTTCATAAACAAATGCCCCACTTGTTTGAGCACAAGTTACATGTGTACTTGTGGTGGTGTAACCTGGAAAATGAAATGTGAGAGAAATATCTAATTTTATTTAACTCTTTGTACTTCTGCTTTTCTCAGGAAAAGTAATAGACTAATGTATTATCTCAGGCCACTCTTCCTGGGGCTGGGGAAAATAAGAGCTTCTTGGACTCTGGGAACTTGACTGAACTGAACATGTCTGATTTGCCCAGGCAGTGTTTGCAGATACTTACAGTAGTGTCTTCCTTCTGGCAGATGGCTCAATCACAAAGGAGTAAGACAGAAGCGCCTAAATGCCTGGCTAGGAATCAAGAACGAGGATGCTGATGAGTAAGTTCTCTCTGAACCTTTCTGTCAAAGGGCCTGATTCCTAATACATGACGTGGACTTTCTTTACACATGCTAAGTGCCAATTCTTAGATCACTTGAAGACATTGAATTGCCTGAAGAATACTCTCTAGGCATTTGAGTTCAGAGACCTGCCCAACAACATGAAACCTGAATGCATAATCACTGTTTCTTCATATATTCATATGTCAGCTTATTAAATGAGACATGCAAATTGTGTGCTTTTTACACCATAGTAATGAAGTTGTTAAAAAAAGTCATCCAATTAATTACAATTTTACTTTGTTATTTTTGTGGTTAAAGATTAGAAGATAGAGGCCCTCTCTGGTGGCACATTAGGTTAAAGCACAACACTGAGAAACTAAAGCCACTGCAGCATGAGTTCGATCCCCGCCTGCCCCAGAGGTGACCACATGGTGTGGCAGACCTCTCCTGACCCGCCCGCTGTTCCCCTCAGCAGTGTACTTCCTCCATCTACCTGTTCTGCTCTCCACTCTGTTTATGGTGAAACCTCTCGCCGCCCCTGATCTTCTGTATGCCCCAGTTCTGTATGCACAAATAAATCTTTAAAAAAAAAAAAAAAAGATTAGAAGATAGATATGGGCCCTTCCTGGTAACACTATGAAGCTACTGCAGTCACTGCAGCATGAATTCCATCCCCAGCCAGGATGCTGACCCACATGGCACAGCGGAACTCTCCTGTCCCACTGCTCCCCTCAGCAGCATATTTCAGTAGATCCCCCTCTTCAACTCCCCACTCTGTTTCTACTGAATCCTCTCACCCCTGCACTACTGGCCTGCACCCCAGATCTCATATGCATAAATAAATAAATCTTTAAAAAAAATCAGAAGATGGGCCCTCCCTGGTGGCACAGCGGGTTAAAGCATAGCACTGAGAGGCTGAAGCCACTTCAGCATGAATTTGGTCCCTGCCCCAGAGGTGACCCACATGGCGTGGCAGACCAATCCTGACCTGCCCGCTGTTCCCCTCAGCAGTGTACTTCATTGATATGCCTGTTCTGCTCCCCACTCTGTCTTTGGTGAATCCTCTTTCTGCCCCTGAACCTCTGGCCTGTACCCCAGTTCTGTATGCATAAATAAATAAATCTTTTAAAAAAAAGAATAGAAGATAGTTTTGTGAATTTGCTTGTAGATATGTTACCTCATTATTAGAATAATATTTTAATTTTTTTAAGGACCTATTTCATCAGTGAGGAAGATGAAAACCTGCCCCATTATGATGAAAAAACTTGGTTTGTGGAGGATATCAACCGAGTACAAGCAGAGGACTTGCTTTATGGGAAACCTGATGGTGCATTTTTAATTCGGGAAAGTAGCAAGAAAGGATGCTATGCTTGCTCTGTTGTGTAAGTTTTCTCTGGGGATATGGTCTTTCGAAAACTTGTCAGTTCACTGATGGAAAATCAATCCCTCATAAAATTCAGATCAAATTGGTTGAAATACAATAGTAAAGACCCAGGGCTTTATATTTTTATAAAGAAAATAGTTACTGTAGAAGAAGTGATACCTGAAATTATTTGGGGGATTTAAATTTAAATGGGTAAGATTAGACTCTGCAGCATTGCTGTTGGCTTTCAGGTGTCTGTGCAAAGTAATGTGAAATGTTTAGTTGAAAAAATTCCTTAATTCCTTAATAGAGTTTTGCAGATCTTAGTCTTTGTCTAATTTTTTTCTTCAGAAGAAAAACTTACCCCAAACTTGTACTTAAATAGTATTGTTTGGATGATAGAAAATGTAGGTGTTTTTTTGTAAGTTACCTTAAGTCTTAGTTTGGAAAAGTCAATTTTTCTCTGAATAGAAAAGTTCTGGGGACAAATAATGATGTGCAGTCATACTTTTGGCTGTGTTGTATATATTCCTTATGGCAAGTACCTTCATTAACAAACACCCCACTTAGAGTGGAGGTATAGTACAATGACTATGAGTGCAAGCTTTGGTGCCAGATAATATTGGATTTTACCTTTCTCTGCCCAGTTTCCTTATGTATAAAATAAGGACAATCATAATATCTACTTGAGGGTTTTTAAGTATTGAGTTAATACATATAATGTAATGCGTTTTGATCAGTACTGGCATATAATGAGTAAATATTATCTACTAATTTATGACACTGGTGCTAATAGTGAACACGACAGAAGGCAAGTAAAGATAACAAAATGATTTTGTCCTCAGAGGGCAAGATGTAAGGATAGAAGGAAGACATTCGTATTAACAGTGTGCTCAGGGCTATATGTGATTACCTTATCTTTAGTGGTCTACTTCAAATGGAGGCAGTTTGAGTTAGAACTTACCTAGTTTCAGAGTCCACATTTTCCTGTTGTACCATGATTTTTTCACTTCACATACCCAAGTAAAAAGAATCACTGTGCAATAGGTGTCATTAGTAGGCTTTGCACATGAAGAATTATAATTCTAGTGGAGAAAGAAAGGGATGAGGGTTTTTGTGAGAGAAGTGGCATTTGAATTGGGCTGTGAAAAGATAAATACTGGAAGAAAATAGAGCAAGATTTTAGCAGTACATTGCATTACTATTAGTCAGTGATAGAAATACCTGAAACATTTTATTTCTAATTTTATTTCTCTCAGACCTACACTACTCAAATTATCTGAGTCAAAATGGCAAGGAAGGATGATATTTGTATAATCAATGCATTGGTCCTTCTCCTCCCTTACCCAGGTTCCTGGGTCATAGCCTGTGGGTTAAGGACTTCACTGGTGGAAAGTGCTTCCCAGCAGTTTGCTAATTCCTGAGAAACCAAGAAGCAGCTTGAATATCTTGGAAGAATTTTTTTCTAGTTTTCCTTCCACTAACCATTGACTTGACAAGACTCGCGTTCGCAGCAGTGTGAATTTCCCTTGCCTGTGAAAACCATCTGTAATCATATAGTGGAGTTCACATTGATGATAGTTGGAGGCAGTCTGGCTTTACAAACACTTCAACTTGTTTGCCAGTTATTCTAGCTATAAAACACCTAGTTATAGTGCTCATATACTTAGGACTGAAGGAAGGGTATGGATAAGTTCAGTTTTTCAGGAGATACTAAATAGCAAAATTAAAATGTTCAGAGAATAGGAAGTTAACTTCTCTTCCTGATTCCTATTTTTCTATTTTAATTTACATTAATGAAGCCTAGGAAGACACTGCTTAACCCCAAGCCTTCTTAGGCTAAGAGACCTGTCAACCAGCAATGTATAATATTCTGTTAGGTTAGGGAGTCTGGTAGTAAGTACTTGTGATCTTTATTGTTGTTATTTGGAAAAAAATTTGATTAGGAATAGAAAAGTAGACAAAATAAGAAATAGAAAACACCTAAAGCTATAAATAACTAGACTTCTAGCAGACATCTCTAGAACACTGTCCTTAACAAGAGCAGAATACACAGGGTCATAGCCATATGACCCTGAATGCACCTGATTTCATCTGATCTCAGAAGCTAAGAGGGCTAACTAAGCAGACCTAGTTAGTACTTGGACATGCGAATATATACTCTCCTCAAGAGCACATAAAGCATTATGTAGGATAGACTACAATAAGACCATAAAAGAAGTCTCAATAAATTTAAAAGGGTTGAAATCATATACAGTATGCTCTCTGACCACAATGGAAAGAAACTAGGAGTCAAAAACAGAAGGAAATTTAGGAAAATAAAAAATAACATACTCCTAAATAACCAGTGGATCAAAAAAAATGGAATAGAACTATAATATATATATTATATATTATAATATATATAATTGAATTACTAATTAAAAAAAAAAGTCCATGAAGAAAAGCCCAGGCCAAGGTGGTTTCACCAGTGCATTCTACCAAATATTTTAAAAGACTTAACACAGATCCTTCACAAACTCTCAAAAAAATAGGAGAGAATACTTTGTAGCTTGTCCCAGAAAGACAACCCATACCAAAACAAGATAGAGATATCACAAGAAAATTGTGGCCCAGTATCCCTCATGAATATAGGCAACAAAATGCTAGTAAAGCAACTCCAGCAACATCAAGAATAAGAAAAGAAGATTCTTTCTAGCAACTCAGGGGTGGTTCGTCATTTAAAAAAAAACACAAACTATGGTGATGGCACATGGGTGAATGGTGATGGGAAGCCCACGGGGATTGCAGCTGAGATGGAAAAGGGCACAAAATGATGTAAAAATAAGCAATTATAATAAAACCACAAAACACACACACGCACACACACACCACAATGTACCATAATGTACCATAATAAAGGACAAAAAAGCACAATTATTTTAGAACACAAAAGCGTTTGACAATGTTTGCAAGTCATATATCTGTCAAACAACTAATGCTTAATAAGTAAAGAATTGTTGACAATAAAGACAAATACCTCATATTAAAAATGAGGAAGAGAATAGACATTTCTAAAATGAAGAGCTATATATGGTCAATAAGCTATGAAAAGGTGCTGAACATCTTTAGTCAGAGGGGAAATGCAAGTCAAAACCATAATGAGGTACCACTAAGATGTCTATGATAAAAAGATACAGTAAATAACTGTTGACAAAGATATGGAAAAGTTGGAATCCTCATACACTGCTGTTGAGAATTTAAAATAATGTAACCACTTTGGAAAACAGTTTGATATTTCCTCAAAGTTAAACAGAATGACTTTTACCAACAGTTCCTTTCCTAGATATTTATTCACTTGAAAACACATACCCAGGGGCCTCCCTGGTAGTAAAGAGGTTAAAGACTTAGTGCTGTCAAGCTATCACCAGCCACTGCAATATGAGTTCAATCCCTGGCCAGGGAGCTGACACACATGGCACAGCAGACCTCTCCTGTCTCGCCCACTGCTCCCCTCAACAGTGTGTTTCAGTTGATCTGCCTGTTCTGCTCCCCACTCTGTCCTTCCTCACATACACACCACTGCACTTGTGTCCTATACCCCAGTTCTTTTATGCATAAATACATCTTTAAAAAAAAAAACACAAGATACATGGCCATATAAAAAATTGCACGTGAATGTTTGGAGCAGCATTATTTCTAATAGGCAAGAAGTGGAAACAACTTTAGTGTCCATATACAAACAAAATGTGTTATATCCTTACAATGGAATATTTTTCAGTCCTAAAAAGAAATGAAGCTCTGACATATACTACAACATGGAAGAACTTTGATTATAGTGTACTAAGTGAAAAGAAGTTGATACAAAGTCTATATACTGTATGATTCCATATGAAATGTCCTGAAGCAGAAGTAGCTTAGTGGTTGCCAGTGTCTGAGCTAGTGTTACTAGCGTTAATTGCTTATAGATATCTGGTATATTTTATGAAAACACTCTGGAATGACGATCATTGCACAACCTTGTGAATATTCTAAAGACCATTGATTTATACACTTAAAAAAATTGATTTGTTCTGTCCCTCTCCAGTGTATTCTTGCTAATTGAAGATCCAGAATTCATGATTTAATCCATGTTAGCTCCACCAGGTTTTGGTGGGTGGAAAGGGTATTTCTGTCTGAAAGGGAGTAAAGGGACACACATGAATGTCACATTTTGCAAGCTTTGCTTGACAAAGTACTTATTTTTTGTGTAACAATTGCTCCCAAACTTTTGGTCATTTGGGTTCCCTTTTCTAATTTCTTGTGGTGTTTGTGTCATTGCAGAGCTGATGGGGAAGTGAAGCACTGTGTGATCTACAGCACTGCTCGGGGATATGGCTTTGCAGAGCCCTACAACCTGTACAGCTCACTGAAGGAGCTGGTGCTCCATTACCAGCAGACCTCTCTCGTTCAGCACAATGACTCCCTCAATGTCAGGCTTGCCTATCCTGTTCATGCACAGATGCCCTCACTCTGCAGATAAAGGGGGAATGGGAAGAGAGGTGGCTCTCTAGCATTTTTTCTACAGTTTTTATTAGACAATGAGGGCATTCTTTCTACGTAGACTGCTTGTTTTGCACAAGAAGTGATTCTGTGAATGTGAAGTGGAGAGGCCGAGCAGCAGCTGGCCAGGATGGGGGCATAAAGGGCCTGAGGTTCTCTGGGACTCAGCTGTGCTGCTGCACTGACATACGAAGCTGGAAGCAGATGTTGTTTGTGAAGTGTTTCATTGGGGGCTTGTTTTGATTAACCAGGCATCCCCAACAGATCTCATTAGGTTTGATGGGGGTGGTGGATTGTACCTGGAAGCCTCTGAAGAATGTCTTTTTGAGAATGAGGCAGGAGGATGACTCTGCCAGTTCTCTTTTGATCTGGCTAGTCTTTCTTCCTCCCCAAAAGACAAGTGTCTTGGTTCTGTGGTAGAAAGCATTTGGTGAAAAAAGACAACCAAAGGAAAATTGGGAGCCTTGAAATTTCATTTAAAGAATCTTAGTCAAGGGGTAAAACTCGTTCAGTTAGGTACTTTCTTAACCAGGCTAATTTAAGTGCCAGCATCTCAGTAGCTCCTCCCTCTAAAAAAAGAGTCGTGTTTAGAAACCAAATTGACCCCAGCAAAACAGCATTTGTTGCTGAACTAAGGCAGCACTGGTATCTGAATGCACACTTCCATACCAAAACTTGAAACTCAAACGAAAACTAGTTGTAACAAACACAAATATTGGTCAGTGTAACTCTTGCCCTTGTTTCTCAGAAATGAGAAATAGTGTTGTTTTGTTTTGTTTTGTGGGCATGGTGAGCTTTGAATCATAAAATGAAGTTGGTGCTTGTGTGGTGTTTCCTTAGCCTACAGGAGCTGTTGTTTGAAACTTTTGTAACTTGTTTGTATGAGTAAAGAAAAGGTGCAATTCAGTGCTTTTAGATGGCTTGATATACCAAATATTGATATAGAACAACATTCTTATATGTGCTTCCTCAAATTTAAAGACCCTGCAGAAGCAGTAAACATGGTTTAATTTCCCTTCATCTCCCTGTCCTTTGCTGGTAGGGCTCAGGGAGCCGTAGGTGACTAAGGCTGTAGCAGGAATGGAGCCAGATAGTGGTCAGGACCTCAGCACATCACAAACCCAGTGGTTCTGGTGTCCAGCGCTAGGGTCACACACATTACCCATGTGCTTCCATATAGTGTTTTCTGAAACTTGCAAGGCCAATAACTAATAACTTGGGAGTTTAGACTGTCAGGAGAAGCCATCTGGAAGCTTTTATCTTTGCCTTTGTTTTGTGATCCTGTCATTAAGATGTGTGCACAAACTGTCCTTAAGCTTCAGTGGCCCTGATTTTAGGTCAGGAATCTTCTGCTCCATGTGGTTTAAATCTTCTGAGTGAAGCTAGGTGAATAGGGTTGGAGACAGGCATCTGCTCCTTCTCCATTGTGCCCAACCCCCAGTTAACACTCATTTGGACAAATGAGTCCAGCTGCCTCTTGAACCAATCCTGGAACCATAATAGACTGAGTGAGTCAGCTGTTTGAACCCAAAGCTGTGCAGTGAGGCATCCTCGCTGACCTGGAGAAGCCTCTTTCAGGGTCTTTGTGCATAAGGCTTATAGCTAAGAAAGTTCTAGTTTTGTGAATAAGAGTTTTTCCCTGAGCACTTATCTTGGGACAGGGAGTAGAATGGGCAATGATATAGTAATAGATTAAAGAATTTGGGAAAAAGTTACTAGCAATCAGGATAGGAGATAAAGTGTGTATCTTGTTTTTCCTTGGTGATGTTGCATTTTCAGGATTGGGTGAGACAAATGATTCCCCTCCAATGTCACTATTTTGATGTTAAGCCCTTAACAGTCAGCTGCACATCTTCTCTCCATATTGCCAGATATAAATCTGATGAAAGATTTACCGAGTAATCCAGTTTACTGCTGGACACAGCTAGATGGCTTTCACCTGTGTCAAACCTGCTTAAATAGTTGGATGCTGAAGATTGGGTACAAGGAAATCTCCTGATTCTAAAATTCAGTATGTTCTGGAGGTTTCTTTAAATAAGCCCAAAATGGAAATAAGGATTCATGCCTGTAACACTGAACCGTGTGCTGCCCCTTGTCAAGCAGACATTGAGGGTGTACAGGGAGAGAGCTAGCGCCACCTCTTACCTACACAGGTTTGTGAAGGGCTGACCTTTTTTCTTAGTCCTACATTCCTTCACACGTGATTTCAAACTTTTGTTTTTGTTGTTTTGTGGGAACTAAGATCTAGGGATCATTTGAGAAGTTGGAAAGTGGCTGGAAGGGGTTGCCATTATCTTGGCAAAAAGTTTTGGCCTCCTTCTGAGTCTGGCTGTGTGTCCTGTCCCATGATCTGGGCCTTGGGCTGCTTGCAGCATCCTAATGTATACTTACTAAGGCAGACGCTAAAGAGGCACAGACTAGGATCAGACTCATTCATTGTCCCAGCTGGGGAAGCCAGCCAATATGGAAGCAGCTTGGGGTCCACTGGGCGTAGGTTTTAGGCCCATCTTTCCTAGGTGGAGCTTTTATCATGGAACAGTGCTGTCTCTACCTGGCCATTAATGCTAAACCTTGGCCATGGCTGAGTCTTTTATAGGCCAGCTGTGTCCTTAAAACAAATTTGGCAGAGGTTGAGAACTTCTAAGTACCTCCCCTTTTTCCTAGTCTTGCTAGACTTACTTTGGATCTCATGTGGCCTGAAGCAGCTTTGAGTGCCACTGTGGTTATCTTCCATGTGTCTCCTCTTGCTACAAGGAACCAGCTGCATGAGTCTTGGGCCAAGAATTGCCATCTGGGTAATTCCTGGTTTTCAGGATGGTCTCTGTTGCCAGTGAAGACCCCAAGGTAGGACTCAAAGCAGAGGATCCAGCTTAGGAGGTGGGGGCCCAAGTGCTCAGCCTTGCTTTAGCTCCTGCCACTTGTGATAAACCTTGTTTTTTTACAAATTCCAGCATGTGAATTCTGGTATCCTATTGTTACTTGTGGAAAGCTCTTCTGTTGTCTTTGATGTAGTCCAAAAAAATTCATGTAGTTTACATAAAAATATCTGATCACAAGAAAGCCAACTATGTGTCTTGTGTTGAGGCAGTTCATAATGTAGTTCCTAGACCATTTTTGCAAATTGTTCTTGTCACCAGGTGTGTTCAGACATTGCTGTGCAGTTGTGGGGGAGGGTGGGGGAAGGTGAGGGGAGATACACTTGGTCTTTTTGTTTTTTACCTTCCCCAAGGGGGAACAGTCTGGCCAACTTGCTCCAGTAATGCAATAAAAACATTGCAATAAAGCACCTTTTTGTCCTCATGCTACGTGGTCGACTGACGGTAGGGGAGGGGATGAAGGGGAGGGTGATGGCAAGAGGAATAAGACTGCTGTGTTGAAACTCCCAAATCTCTTCCACAAGTGGTCCTGGGGTGAACTGGTGGCCCCCGGTAGCTCTCTCCCCTTGAAGTAAAAGCAACTGATCCTAACAGGCATGACCCCATAATCCTGTTCTGGGACATAGGGGGACTCAGACACTAATCCTGAGAAAATGCAATCTTAGTGCAGTTTCTTCATTCCATTCCCGATTACTAGAAAACCTAGCTTCTCATCACATCTGCTTGGAAATAAGTATTTTCACAATTTATTCTGGAGGCCAGTGAAATGGACTATTATAGTTGCCCCAGGGCTTTAGTCACCATCCTGTTACAGCATAGTTGAGGTTCCTGTGTTGGAAACATATCAGCAAATGTGTGACCACCTCTAATTGCACATCATTGTAGCTCTTATCCACTCTCAGGCCCCAACCAGATGTGTGCTGAATTACATATCAGATTGGGTAGGGGAATGGTGTGAACCAAGTGACCATGTCTAGATCCTTCCTTCCTGCTATAGCTACTATTACCCCTACAGCCACTGCCAGGAATAAGGATGGCTTCCCTAGTCCTTGAAGCTGTTCCTATTCTCTGCATAGGTTGATCAAATTTCTGTCTCTGGTGTAGTACTCCCATCTGAACTCTTCCACAAATGGTCCTGGGGTGAACTGAGCCCCCCAGAAGCCCTCTTCCCCTGAAGTTTTAAACATAATTGATCCTAACAGGCCTGATGCCAGAATCCTGCTGACAGGACATGGGGAGACTCAGAGCGAAGTTACCTCCACCAAGGTCTTGTGTGTCCTATTAGCACTGCAAATTTGTTTAGAGAAAACATACTTGGCTATGAATTTCCTAACTTTCCTACCACCAAACTTCTCTCTATCTACATACCACTGTCCCATTGTCTCATCTATCAAATTACAAACTGTAGTCTTCCAACTAAAAAGCAACTCCTTCTGCATTTTTGGACCCATTTTTCTCCCACTTTGTCAGAAGTCTCCTAGGATCAATTCTTTAACTTCTGTTTAACTCTTCACCTATTGACATTTAAAACATAATTGGGTTGGCCCTCCCTGGTGGCGCAGCGGGTTAAAAGCACTGCACTAAGAAGCTTAAGCCACTTCCCCATGAGTTTGATCCCTGCCTGCTCCGGAGGTGACCACATGGTGTGGCAGACCTCTCCTGGCCCTCCCGCTGCCCTGCTCAGCAGTGTACTTTGTCGATCTGCCTGTTCTGCTCCCCACTCTGTCTCTGGTGAAGCCTCTCACCCTCCACATCTCTGGCCTGTACCCCAGTTCTGTATGAATAAATAAATCTTAAAAAAAAAAACAACACATAGTTGGATGACATTTAAACCCTTCTCTAGTCCTCAATCCTTATGTCCTGCACTCTTTTCTCCTCTTCAAAGCCAAGTTTTAGCTCCTAAGTTTATTTCACTTCCTCAAGCATTTCAGTTCTGAATTCTTCTTAGTTCTGCCACTACATGAAATCACTCTCCTTGATGTCTTTAATATCAATCCTTATTAACTTCTTTTCCATGAAAAAATCTCCCATGGGCTCCAATGAAGATTCATTCATCCAGCTTTCCTGTCTCTGTTCCTTCTTCTAATTCTCTGGACTTCAGTCTCTTAGACTTTCCACTGCCGCTCACTTATGCCCTTTCTCCACATCCATGAACTCACCTACAGCCCTAGGCCAATTCTCTCCCATCACTTCTCTTGCTCAGATCTACCTCATATGTCCCAATGACTTACAGGGCCATCACCTAGCTCTGGTTAACTCATTACTTTACAATTCAGTAAACAGAAATATATAATTCACCTAGCTGTAAAACTCAAAATGTAGTTATCTTTTTTTACTTCATGTCTGTGTAAAACCTATCACCAACCCTTATCAGTTTTTACCTTCTAAATATCAAAATCATCTCTTCAACTTCACTACCACCTCTCATCTTTATACTGCAAGGCTTCTCTCCCATTCTTGTTCCCCTCAAATTCATCCGTATAGCAACCAGAGTCATCTTTTGAAAATATATACCTGAAACTGTAAAATCATTCAATAATTTGCAATTGCTTTTAGGATACATTACAAAATTCTTAAAATGGCCCAGCTTTTCTAAGTTCAGAATCTTATTTCCCACGTCAATTTCTGTTCGCTGGTTCCCTCCAATTAGATAGTTCCATGTCCTGGGCCTTAGCTTTTTCATTCTTCACAATCTTCTTTTCCTATGGCTTTAATTACCATCTATTTGATCATAGCTGCCCAAATCTGCTTTAGGCTTCCTACACTCTTTTGGAGGAAAGATCACTATTGTCCTTATTCAGATCACCATAATGGATTACTGCATTTTCTGTCCAGTCTGTTAAGTCCATTCAAGGCTCTCTACACTAAAGTCAGAGATCTTACTAAAACAAATCCCACTATACCACTATCCTGCAGCTGCTTTTCAGATATTTCTCACTCCCTTCAGGTTAATCCGGCAGTGTTTTTCTTAAGGGGGTACTACTGGCACTTGGCGCAGTCCACCCTAAGAATGGTCGGATGCCAGTCCTCATTTCCAACCCCCTTAAGAGATGGACTGCTGCCAAGATGTGCCCTTTTTTCTGGCCTACCCTCTACACCTATAGGAACTTCTAATCCATCCTGATATGCATGAAGCACCCGCTCCACACCAAGTAAACAGTTCCCAGTGTCCAGTAACAGGCAGGCAGAGGGTCTGCTGTCAACGAACCACTGAAGGAGTGAGTTCTGATGGCTCACTGGTGGGCTCTGCCACCACGGGCAGGGTGCGCCCTCTGGCGGCACAGCTTCTCCCCATGCTAGGTCATGACAGCAGGATGCATGGTCCAGAGGCATTTTCCTGTCTCTGGGCATCCTTTGGACCTAGGGGTGGAACCTGTACAAATTAGAGCAAGCAGCAGTTTCACGAATTCTGCATCTCCGTGGCTGCACTCTTCTAGCCCTGGCCTCTGTCACAGCCCTACTCCTGGTTTCTGTGGTGCCATCTGACTCCCCCCACAGATGTCCTCCCACACTACTCTCCACTATGTGGGTAACTCACTGGGAATGGTCTACCTCAGCAATGTCCATCTACTATGCTGAAGATTAACTGACAATAAGTCAGAAGGGTTCATGGCTAATAAAATACAAAAGGCAGTTGTCTTTTTTTCAGGTCCCCTGGCCGCTCAGCATTTTAGCATTTATTCTCCTTCCAATTAAACCTTTCTGCTCTTCAATAGTATGACTCTCTTCTGGCTACTTCTAAGTCTTCCTTTTAGCCTTAAATATTAGTGTTCCCTAATGTGTCACTACTGATACATAGATGGTACTTAAATTCTTATCTTCAGTCTGTTTTTCTCTACTGAGTTCCAGATCCATGAATTTAATTACCTTCTGGATGCTTCAAAGGTACTGCAAATCAAATATATACATGTTCAACTCTACCTCGCTCCACTTCTTTGCCCCACCTTGTTTTCTGACTAAGGGCCTGGAGATAATTGTGGGTTCTGTATTTGTTCAAGGTCTAGCCTAGGTCTGCCCAAGCTGTATGATTTTGGGCATGCTAGCATCTGAAAACTGAGTCCCTTCAATCTAGACTCCTGAATCACCACCAAACGTGGCCCTTGCCCAATTCAGTGACTCCATCTCCCCTATTATTTTCAGTTCCTATTTATGCTGTATGCTTTGCCCAGATTATTTTTCTTATACCAATCCTCATTCTTCAAACCTAGCAAACTATTACATATACCCCCTTCTTTAGGTTTGAGGTCAGGTATTGCTTCTGGAAAACCAAGCTGAGTTATGCACTCCTACCCTGACAGTGGAAGCTGTCTTACTCATTTACTGTATTATCAGCAACATAGAACCTTGAGTTACATTTGTGTTGACTGAAGGAAAGAAGCAAACATGAGAAACATCAAGGTAGTTTCCAAGAGTGTGTATTACACAGGTCTGAGTGCAGAAATGACAAACAACTGCTATGTTTGCTTTAAAATCTCATCAGATGCCAATACCAAGTCCTGATGCTTCTGAGGATGCCCTGAGTCGTGGCCCCTCCAGAGCAGGCTGGGCTCAGGCTCCTGGGTCAGGGGACAGCCTCTGCATGAAACTTCCTGCCTCCTGTCACCTGAGGCATCAGGCACTTTGGAGGCAGCCAGGGCTGGCTCCTCTTCCTCTGTTTGTGCACACTCCCAGAGCCAGTTTTGGCTAAGAATGTCACAAGGTGGATGGAGCAGCCCAGGAGCACTGGGTGGCCGTGACTTCCCCGTCTGCCTGGGAGAAAGGTTCTCCTGGTGGGCTGGAGTTGTGTTTCCCAAATCCTGGGAACCAGGCAGTCCACCTTTCACTGTTGCTCCTCTGCTAGAGGTTGCTCTGTCTGGGTGCTCACTAGGCATTTTCCAGGACCACGGGCCTGGCACTCCAGAGGTGGAGGAAGCAGTGGAACAAATGGTAGAGATGGGACAAAGTGCTG